ACCCTTACCAACTAACTACTAAACATCAAAAAGAAAAACAGACTCAAACCCTTAAGAAGGTTGTCATGCCATCCATCATCGGGAAGAGCCACCCGGTTCACACAAATTCCATCTTTGGAAAGAACCGTGGCATTAAGAAAACCAAATACTTATTGCAAAAGCTCAAAACAAGAAGCTACGAACATAAAATGAGAAGCTAAGAAAGAAAAAATGCGGAAAGTAAAATGTATAATATATATATATATATATATATATATATATATATATATATATATATATATATATAGATAGATAGATAGATAGATAGATAGATAGATTGTGCGTAATAAGGTATACTCTTTTACTTTAGTATATTTATGTTTCCTTGTGATACGTATTATTATGTAATAACAAATTCATGAAGTTACATAATTATACAATGTTTGGACGGTTGGATGTAAAATATAACTATATATTGTCTTGTTTGATGCTTGAACATCTATTCAGGTACCAGAGGCGGATCTAGTATAAAGGTTACGGGTTCACGTGAACCTAATAATTTTTATGTAGACTCAATATTTGTACCAAAAATTTATTTGAGGGTGTTTGGCTAAGCTTATAAGCTGGTCAAACTGGCTTATAAGCACATTTTGACTTATCTACGCGTTTGGTAAACATCCAAAGTACTTATAAGTCAAGTGCTTATAAGCTAAAATCAGCCATAAGTCATAAGTTGGTTACCCCCAACTTATGGCTTTTCAACTTATAAGCACTTTTAGTTTGACCATGACTTTTACTAGTTTATCCTTAATAATACTTTTTAATTCCCAAAATATTTTTCCCGAATAAATTTTTTAGCTTTCTCTTCATTCCATATTAAATTAGCACTTGTACCCAAACACGTAATTGCTTATTTATTAAAGCAACTCAAACACTTAAAAGTATTTTTCAGCACCTAATGCTTATCAGTTACTTCAAATCAGCTATCCAAACGGGCTCTTAGAAGTATAAGAAATTGTTGTAGAAATTTCTGAATCCGCCTCTTTCAGGTAGACAAGAAATTCTCTATCTAATTTTCAGCAAATTATAAAGATTATAACTTCCGATCAATCTCATTACATCACTTAAATATACAGAATTCAAATCACATGAAAGGTAATCTTTTTTTTTGGGTATTCTTTTGCTTCTTCCAAGGGTCCACCCACAAGTAGGGGTGGGCATCGGTCGGTTCGGTTTGGTTATGAATATTATCGGTTTTGCCTATCGGTTATCGGTTTACAAATATCATAACCTGATAACCAAACCGATAAGATATTGGTTATCGGTTATCGGTTAATCGGTTATCGATCATTATCGGTTTGGTTATCGGTTTACCCGATAAGATAAAACAACTAAAACAATTTCGCAATGTATGAAACAGTTTCGGTATAAAACTGTTTTGCTAAAACTGTTTTATAAGATTTTAAGAACTGTTTTGCTAAAACTCTTTTCAGAACTGTTCTATTTCACAAGAATTTAAATGTACTGCAACATCCAATAAAATAAACACTAACCAAAGTTTCTATCTTTCATTCTTCAACCCAAAAAATATAAACAAAAATCCCAATATCAGTCAGTGACGAAAAAACAGAATATTAGTCATATTTTCACTTTGACACTTTCTGCAAATACAAGGGATCTAAATAAATAACAAATACAAGTGTCAGCCACGATGCACATGTTTGTGATGCAATTTTTGTAAATGTCAAAAGAAAAAGTGAGAAGTTGAGTCACTACCCTTCCACTGCTTTGAAGACTGAACAACTTCATCAAAGTTCTGCTAAACATAGAACTAATAGTTCTGCTAACAATAGAACAATAGAACTAATCTGCAACAATAGAACAGAGTTCAACACTAATAGTTCAACACTTCAACTAATAGTTCAACACTACAAACAGTCCAAAGTAATAGTTCAAACACATTAATAACAATACAAAGTAGTAGGAACCTTAAAATTAACCAGTCCAAAGTCCAAACATAGTACTAATGCGACTGAAGAGTGAAGTGAAGATGCGACTGAAGAATCAGATGGATCTGAGAAATGAAGTGAAGATGCGACTGAAGAGTGAAGGAAAGAAGCTGAGAAATTCGATTGATGCCGACCTTAGTCTTGACGGGCTGACTGGTGAGGGCGTGATGCAACTGACATCGACCCGAGTCTTGACGGACTGACTGGTGAGGGTGTGAGACGGAGAAACTGAGAAAGAATAGGAAAATCAAAGAGTGAACTATGAAATATGAAACCCTAATATGTATATACTTAAGGGTAAATTAGTTAATCCTTATTGGGTTATCAGTTTTACCCAATAACAGAATTGCCAAACCGAGCCCGAACCAATAACCCAATAAAAAAAATATTTTAATTCGTTACCGAACCGTTAACCCAATAACCCAATACCGATAACCTAATAAATAATTAACGGTTCGGGTTATCGATTTTACCCGATATATGCCCACCCCTACCCACAAGATCTTCTTTTGCATCTTCAAGAATTCACCCACAAAAAGATACAAAAGAATTGAAAAGAAAAGTGTAGCAATTAAGATGTTTGTGAGTTCATGTCAAAAGGAGGACTTGGCGGGGGAATATTCTAGTGTAGCACGATGGCCGCAAAGTGGGGCTAAATAAATACCTCCTTCTGTTTCAAATTAGATGATGTACTTTCCTTTTTAGTTTGTTATAAAATAAATGATATATTTTTAAAATTTTGAAATAATTTAATTTTAAACTCTTCATTTTATCCTTAATGAGAATCTTTTATAACCACATAAATATCATGGCCCCACAAAGTTTTTACCCTTTAAGCATTTAAGACAGTAAATTTTAAAAATCTTTTTTTTTTCTTAAATTCCGTACCGATTCAAACTATGTCAATCTAAATTGAGACGTAGGGAGTAGCTTGAAAACTCCGGGAGAGAGGGGGCGTGGGGGTTGGAAAGGGATAATTTTATTCCTGCGCGCTACTTAAATTAAAAGAAGGTCAGCCATAAAAATATCTTCCATAACTGGCTAATGACGTGGCCTTCCCCCGGTGGCAGGTTACGTCCAGATATTTTCTCCTCAAAATATCTTTCAACCACGTGTGGCCTAAACCTCTTAGTTGAGACATCCACTTTCACTTTTGCCCATAAAATTTCTATGAATTACTTAAATGCCACCGTCTCCCGAGACGATTCGTTAGTTGTATATTTTCTTGTGTTAAAACTTAAAAACATATTCTTTTTGGGTCTAAAATTGATCTATTTCTTTTATTTCTAGGAGTATATTTATTTTTAGTTGGCATTCAAGATAATTTTTTAATATGCAAACATATATTTATTTTATGTTTTTGAATAGCTTTCAAGCATTTTGATTATGAAGCGTTATTCTCTTTTTCTTTTTGATGTTTTTATTAAGAATTTAATAATAATATAAACTTATTAAGAGTAATTTTAATCAAAATAAAGTAAAGTGTCCCTAAGTTAAGGAAAATAAAACAAAAATATTGAAATTAATATGAAGAGACCAAGGAGGCGAAAAACAAGGAAATAAAATGCAATAAACTCCAGTTTTTTGCTTTATTCTATCCTTGACATTAATTTTAGTTTTTGATTAAGTGATATGCCTCTCTGTCTTCTTAAAGACAAGGATAAGGTTTGCGTACACTCTACCCTCCCCAAACTTTATGTGGGATTACACTGGATATATTGTTATTATTATTGTTGATTAACTAATAGAGTATGTTCTTTTTCTTTGTAAAAATGGAGATGTGAGGGAAATTGGAAGCTCCCAGCTAAGTTGGCGGGGAAGTTATTTCATAATTTGTGATTATGATGTGAATTATGATCAGTTATTTTTGTAAAGATAATTTAAACGTTTATTATTACTCAACAATTAATATAGTTATTTGGTTTTGAATTCAAAGACCGTCTTTGTTTTCTTTTCAATTTTTTTCCTTCATTTATCAGAAATGTAAAATATGTGATACTCCCTCCGTTTCATATTAGATGAGGTACTTTCCTTTTTAGTCTGTTCCAAAACAAATGACACATTTTAAAATTTGGAGATAAATCAACTTTAAACTCTTTCATTTTACCCATTTACCCTTAATGAGAAGCTTTTATAGCCACACAAATGTCATGGCCCCACAAACATTTTACCCCTTAAGCTTTTAAGACCACAAATTTCAAAAATCTTCTTGTTTTTTCTTAAACTCCATGACGAGTCAAACTATCTCATCTAATATGAAACGGAGGGAGTATAAACTATGCTCTTTATATACGCATTGAATAACATTTGAAATTCCAAAGTATACAAAAATGATGATAAGATGATACTCTCTCCGGTTCAAAATAAGTGATTTTTTGGATGTTTTCACACAGACTAAGAAATCTACCTTTTAACATTAATTAGCAATAGAATTGACCATATTAACCTTTACTATCTCACATAAACACTCCTAACACATATTCCAACACTATTTACTCCAAGGACAATATAGGAAAAAAATAATTAACTTATTCTTGAAATCCGGAAAAATCACTTATTTTGGACCACAAGAAAAAAGCAAAAAAATCACTTATTTTGGACCGGAGAGACTAGTTTGGAAGCTTTGCTTTTACTTTACCCAAAACGAGTAATTAACTATAGTGGTAAGAATACATATTTATTCGCGGGGGCCACTTTCGGCCCATTTTGGCATCACATTGTTAGTACTTCAATATATTTAAGTAGCTAGACAGCTAATTAATAATCCTATGTTTCTCAATTCTATTAAATAATTGATTACCACTTAATATAAACTTGATCGGGTGGGTCAAGTGTGATAATGACATCCATAATTGTCGGTTATCACACTCGTATAATGTTTAATAAAATCAAAGCATAACTTTGGTCTCGTACACATAATTATCGGTTAAATTAGTGAAAACTAGATGGCATATCTGTAAATAAGTTTTAAAAAAGGTATATTTAGGAAAAGTAGCTGTACAAGATATCTACAACATATCTACTGCAGGACATATTCACACGGAAATCGAGAGATATTTTGTCAAAAAGATGGGAATGAAGAAAATGGAAGGAGGAGGAGGAAAGAGATTGAAATGCAGCAGAAATGATAACAACAACATGGACCAAGACGAAGAAGAAGAGATTTTTTATGATGGTTATGAAGTAGAGAGGGAAAATGAACAACTTCCTTCTTCACAGCAGCCAGTTGGATTTTTCTACCCTTCAACGACACCGTCTTCTATCGTCGTTTCAGATGCCTTAGAACCTGATCTTCCTATCATATATGTGAATACTGTGTTCGAAATTTCTACTGGTTATCGCGCTGATGAAGTCCTCGGTCGTAACTGGTAAGTTATTTTCTTCTTTTGTTTATTTGTGTGTCATATCACATATGGGTTTTGGATAGTATAAATTGGGGAAGTTAGCTGATCTGAGCTGATTTAAGTGTATATAGGATTTAATTTTTGCCATTTAGATTGTATTTGAACAAAATGTAGGGTTGGAATTGCAAATTTGACGAAAATTTTGAGGTGGAGAATTGGAGTTAGATTTTTTTTTTTAGTCGCTTTCGAATGAATTTGTTTTCAAAATTTCCTTTTTTTCTTCTTTTATTGGATCTTATGCAGTTAGTCTACTTTTACTTGTAATTGTGGATTTCTCTGTATTTTGTTTGCAAATTGTGTGTGTTATATGAGTGTAGTGCTGTTTGGATACCTCTAATTCGTTGTACTTTCTCAACTTAATTGTTGAGTTTTTCTTGTTTAGTTTGAATTGAGAATTTAGCTGATCTGAGCTTGATAAGTTGTTCTAACTTTATTTGTGAAAAACAAAACTTTATCTAAGTACTAATTTTTGATTATTTTTTAGTATACTGTAGTTTGTACAAAATGTTGGATTTTGAATTGCAAATAGCTGTAAATATTTGCGGGGAGAATTGGAGTTAGAGGTGTTTTTTTGTTGAGTAGAGAAGAACTGCTCATGCCATTGTCATTTATCTCTTAGATAAATCCTTGTCAAGAAGCATATTTAATGTAATGAAGGATATGGACAACTGTATAGAGAGCTAAAAATTGACGAATAATGCACAAAGGAAAGGAAATATCAAGTCGGATCATTGTTATTACCTTATAAATAATTAAGAAAACATGTCGGATCATTGTGAAGTTTTTTAGTTTTCTAGCTAAACTACATCTTTCAAGATCACTAAGTGAATTCCCCTGATCTTGTAGAAGCTTATGCGTCCGCTGTGTGAAGACAATGCTCGACGTGGATCTTGTACCTAAACACCTAGGAAAAACCACAATCTGCCCAAATATTTGGTTTCAAAATGATGATTAAGATGTCATCTTGACTTAGATATATCCTTCTAATCACTACGTGTAATAACTGTGTCATGAACGTAAATCACCAATTAAATACACAAACTCAAAACAGAATGCTGATAGAATACAAAAGAAACAACCTTACCGCAGGTCGTTCCTTATTTGTGGACACCTATACCGAACTTATCAAATCATGCTCAAGGTGACTGTTTCAGATTATAAGGATATACATAATGTACATACACAACTTGAGACTCTCTAAGATGGTTGTTTCATATAAACTTCATCCTCAAGATCAGTTACATTCTTGATGTCCAACTAATAAGGAGGTCAATAATGAACAACAGATATGGACCAGGAAAGACGGATTGATGCAATTTTAGCTACAGGATATTGATTATCACCATTATCAAGCCCAAATACTTGAGTATTGTCTTTGGCGTCCAGACAACCTTTAAGTTGAAATAAGTTTCATCATCTAGACTGACTTTGGTATATACTAAGTTGAGCGGACTCTTTGATTTTGGTGCCATCTCCGTCCCGATACGAGACGGGGATGGGAGCGGGATACGTCCCGGATACGGTCAACTGACTTCGGACACTTTGACCGGAGTCCATCAACAAATTTGGGAGAAAAATTGAGATTTTGATTTCTCAAAGTCAAAAAAAAAAAAAAAAAATATAGGAGGATAAAAGAATAAATGTCCATCTTGGAGAATGAAAGATTGAATTCTACAGTATTCATTTAAATTTTTCACAGAATATCTCTCAAAATTTGCAATATTTTAAAGCTCTATGTTTTATTAGCCGAATCCCCACACCCGTATCCATATTCTGATCTGCACCCCCGAATCTTAAAATTTAGATTTTGCCGAATCCGATACTCGGATCTGTCCCCGTATCGGATACCCGCACCCGAGTCCGAGCAACTTAGGGTATATAAACTTAGGGACAAGCGACTGTAATTTTTACTTGGAGGCAAAGGAACAAGCTTCTAAGTACCATTAAGGTGTAGAGCCGACATCTCCTCAACCATAGTCTGTCATCGACCTCGATGAGAGAGGGTTTCACCTGTAGACTTAACAAATAGAGACAGAGGACAAGGAAGACAAAAATGCAGAATGGGATGAAAATAAATGATGGTAACCCAAAAATGTATTTTGGGGGGGGGGGGGTTTCACAAGTGGAGTGAACACATTTTTGAAAGCCATCGAGGAGGCTAGGACTAGACAAGCTCGCAGAAGGAAAAGGAATCCGTTGTAGAGCATTGATGATGATAAATCAAGATTGGTGGTGCTGTGGGAGGAGATGGAAGTTTAGAGTTTGGATTAATATTAGAGAAAACAAGAAGGTAGGAGAGAAAGGTAACTTTCTTTGGAACAAGTGTAGGCAAGACAGGGGAATGAAACCTCTGGTTTTCTAAATGCCAAAATTGACTTAGGTATTCTGAAAATATTGGGTCTAAAAAGTAGGAGACATATGGCGTTTTTGGAATATTGGGTATAAATCAAGATTGGTGGTGCTGTGGGAGGAGATGGAGGTTTAGAGTTTGGATTAATATTAGAGAAAACAAGAAGGTAGGAGAGAAAGGTAACTTTCTTTGCAACAAGTGTAGGCAAGACAGGGGAATGAAACCTCTGGTTTTCTAAATGCCAAAATTGACTTAGGTATTCTGAAAATATTGGGTCTAAAAAGCAGGAGACATATGGCGTTTTTGGAATAGGTTTTGGAAGAATTTCGAGGAAAACCTTTTTAAAAAATCTTGTTGGTTAATGTACTTCGGATTAAGTTTTGAGAAAAGATTTGAAAGTTCTGGAATAGGTTTTGAACTTGAAGGGGAAAATAGTGTTTGAATCGTAAAAGAGGTGTTGAAGAAGCTGTGTTTTTCTAGGTTTTGGGTTCCAAAGTTTTTCCAGAAGTGCTTTCCGAAACCAGGGTCTTTCATATACCAAGCAAGAATGTGTCTTGGGAAGTTCTGAAAGACATACCTTGACCAAACCCCTTCAAGGTCAAATGATTATGTTCCATTCTTTTTTTTGCCTAATTAAAATCTAATGCCCGTTTCCATTCCTCTCTCCTTTCTGTCTTCCGTTCTTTTAATCCAACCACCCCTGGTTAATGCAGAAATGAGTTCACTTAATGGGATACAAAAAAACTATGTTTGATTGAATGCACTTGCTCAAACATGACTTAAAGTGCTAATGACCTTGGCCTACCTGCTATCCCTGTAAAAATAAAGAACTACTGGACCAAAAAACTTAAGCCACACCTTTTACACATGCTGATTCTCAGAAAAGAAATTTACTGAATTATAATAAGACGCTTTAAGTCCATGGTAATGGCCATCACATTGATTGTAAGGCAAGGCCATCACACTGATTGTAAGGTGAGCGCAATGGATCTGAAGCTGTTTCTCTCTATTGTGTTTGAACTGAGCAGAAAAGTTTTTGGGCCGCAGAATTAGCTATTCATCTTTTTGCAAAAAAAAAAAAAAAAAAAAAAAAAAAAAAAAAATTGTAGGACTTATTTTTGTTCCACTAAATGCATTAGGAATTCTGGGTGTATGAAACACAGCCGCATCTTCCACAAATTTGAGATGGAACGTTCTCATTTCTATGATCGGAATAACAATCCTAAGAACTGAAGTTACCTATTGAATCAGAATTCAAGACTGCACAATAATTAGTGTTACCTTTTCGTGAAGATTTTATTGGCCTAAGAAGATGCAAATTGCTGCAACAACTCAGACCACTGCTGGGTTGCGTCAGGTGCTTTTATGGTGTTTTTTGTGTGTCAGGTGCCTTATTTCAAATGACTACTGCTTTTAAGATCATGTCTCACAAAGGATAAGCTAACGTTGAAAACAACGGAGTATGCATATCATGTAGTGAAAAGCAATAAAAACTGAGAGACAAGAGTGCCTCAAAAACTGTGACATAAAGTGTGTTCTGTGTCAGAGTGGCGCTTCTTGAATTGAAACTGTTTGGATGGATGATTCTTTTGCTGATGATTTGTATATCCTTTTGATTTAATTAAGTGATCTAATTGTCCAAAGAAACAATGATGGCGTAAATCTTACTTCAAAATATAGTTACCACTCCATCAAAAATTGTTCAGAATATACAAACAAATAAACAGCTATGGTATATATCTTATCTTTATATCTATTATGATTATCCGGTAGACTAGAATTTATTTTCCTCCTTGGAATAGTTTTTGTGTCACAAGGATAAAGAATAGTCAAAATATAGGTTTTGATTAGTCAATAAATGACACCTAATGCTAGTATATTATCAAATATATTATAAATTTTCTGTCCCTTGACATTATCAATTCTTTAATAGAATTGTTCAATGGAGATGTTATAGCTGATTCTTCCTTTACTTCTTTTAGTGTTACATTTTTTTGACAGAGATTTTCTCTCTGTGGATATGTGCCTATGGGCATGCTAGATAAGCTTTTTCCTGCATTTACCATTGACTTCAAAATTCTAATATTGAAGCATCTACTATATGTTAAACATCATTTACTATTTGAGGAATCTTGATACATCCACTGATTCATTTGCTTCAGTCGGTTTTTACAATTTAGAGATCCACGAGCCCAAAGGCGGCATCCTTTGGTGGATCCTGTTGTTGTTTCTGAGATCAGAAGATGTCTTGAAGAAGGTGTTGAATTCCAAGGGGAGCTTCTCAACTTTAGAAAGGATGGTACACCTCTGGTGAACAGGCTAAGGCTAGCTCCAATACATGGTGATGATGGCACAGTTACCCATGTTATAGGGATTCAAGTATTTTCCGAAGCAAAAATTGACCTGAATACTGTGTCATATCCTGTTTTCAAAGAAACTTGCCAGCCTCAATGTGACAAGTCTAGCAAATACTCTATTAAAAGCGGTGATTTACTGCAATGTCAGCACCGTGAAATATGTGGTATTCTTCAGCTCTCTGATGAAGTGCTAGCTCACAACATTTTATCTCGGTTGACACCAAGGGATGTTGCGTCCATTGGTTCTGTTTGTAGAAGGATACGCCAATTGACAAAAAATGAACATGTGAGAAAAATGGTTTGTCAAAATGCATGGGGAGCAGATGTCACAGGAGTGCTGGAACACATGACTAAAAGATTAGCTTGGGGGCGCCTGGCTAGGGAGCTAACCACTCTTGAAGCCGTTTGTTGGAAGAAACTGACAGTTGGAGGGGCTGTAGAGCCTTCACGTTGCAATTTCAGTGCATGCGCTGCAGGGAACCGGCTGGTGTTATTTGGAGGGGAAGGTGTTAATATGCAGCCAATGGACGATACATTTGTTCTCAATCTTGATGCTGCTAATCCAGAGTGGCGACGAGTTAGTGTCAAATCATCTCCACCAGGACGGTGGGGCCATACTCTCTCATGCCTTAATGGTTCCTGGTTGGTGGTATTTGGTGGGTGTGGGAGGGAGGGACTGCTTAATGATGTGTTTGTTCTTGATTTAGATGCTAAACAGCCAACATGGAAAGAAGTATCTGGTGGAACTCCGCCCCTTCCTAGATCCTGGCACAGCTCATGCACAATGGAAGGCTCAAAATTAGTTGTTTCTGGTGGCTGCACAGATGCAGGGGTACTCCTCAGTGATACATATTTGTTGGATCTCACTATTGACAAGCCTACATGGAGAGAAATTCCAACTACGTGGGCTCCTCCGTCAAGATTGGGACACTCACTCTCAGCTTATGGGAAGACAAAAATTCTAATGTTTGGTGGACTTGCCAAGAGCGGTCACTTGCGGTTAAGATCAGGGGAATCATACACGATTGACTTGGAGGACGAAAGACCACAATGGAGGCAACTTGACTGTGGGGCGTTCACAGGAGTAGGAAGTCAGAATGCAGTGATTCCTCCTCCTAGACTTGATCACGTCGCTGTAACCATGCCTTGTGGCCGGATTATCATTTTTGGAGGTTCAATTGCCGGACTGCACTCTCCTTCACAACTATTTTTACTGGATCCTTCTGAGGAAAAACCGTTATGGAGGACTCTCAATGTACCTGGGCAACCTCCAAAGTTTGCTTGGGGTCATAGCACATGTGTGGTTGGAGGAACAAGGGTCTTGGTCCTGGGAGGCCATACGGGAGAAGAATGGATTCTAAACGAAGTGTATGAATTGTGCTTAGCGAGCAAGCAAGATTCTGATGCATGATGTGGCTAATCAAATTCGTGCAGAATTGATATATAAATATCTTCTGAAAATGCTCTGAAGTCATGGAGAAACTTTACATTTTCCTTGAGAATGGTTCCGCAATGGAATACACCATGTCATAGATTCGAGTATCTTATGCAGCTTGTGTAAATAAGCTTTTGATCTTGCTGTTTGTAGTCCCTTGTTTTGTATCACAAGTGCTTGCAGTTCTGATTTTCTGTGCGAGTGGAATTGCATGTAATGTGAATATCTGTTCCTGCAGACCATTTGGTGGCTGGAATTTCTTATGCTTTTTGCCGTTGTATTTATATATTCTATTCACTGGTTTCTGAGTCTTAATTTGTACATTATCCTTCTGCCAAGATAGTTCATGCTCATATCTAACGCAATAAGGAATCCTTTAAACTGCCGAAACCCGACCCGTCGTCTTTTTCATTTTAGGTACTTGGTTATTCCGCTTCCGCTTAACAGGGATAAACGCTTTCTTTCACAAAAAATATTTAGTTTAGACTGCAGTCCTAGTTGGGGAGGAGATGCATTGGGAAACTTTTCCTAATCTTTTAACTCAGTGAAACAATGAAAAGGAAAAGGTAGATTCAGAGAATGCAAATAACACTTTCAAGAATGTACTATAGGGAGTGGGTAACAAAAGATCAAGATGAATATTGCTTACAAATTAATTTGCATGCAGGCATTTATTCATCTAGATTTAGAGCCCGTTTGGCCATGATTTTTTTTTTTAATTTTTTTCAAAATCTTTTCACTTTTTTTCAGAATCATTGTTTGGCCAAAAAATTTCAATTCACTTGAAGATGACTTTTGAAATTTTTCGAAAATTTAAAAAATTCCAAAAAACCCGTTTTCTAAAATTTTCACCCTGATCACTCAAAAAAATTCAATAACAACCCAAAAATATATTCATGTTCAAACACAATCTAATTTTCAAATACCATTTTCACTTGAGTTTTCACCTTTTTTCCAAAATTTTACAATTCTTATGTCCAAAAGCCCACTTACTATAAACATGCCCTTACGAAGTTGAACAGCGAAAGTGAAATTCTGGCGCCACCATCGCTTTCATCAAGTTCCATAAAATCTTTACTACTCCGTCCGTTTGACCAAAAAGTGTTAAGCTTTTTGTTAAACTAATTAATAAGAATATAGAGGATAAATTTTAGCCAAGGATAATTTACTACAGATTAAACATCAAAGCATATTGAATAGGAGAACAAGATATAGTCAAGCTCATGAACTTTCAAGACTTATAAAAGATATCAAATATAAATAACATGCTTACATTCATGAAGTATCGTCCCATAATGTAAAAATAGAGGAGGAACAGAGGGAATGCCATTGATAGTTGCAGGATCTATCTTTATTGATTCAAGAAAGACGATTACAAAGATTTAATGCCAAGATCTGCAACTTCTCGTGTTTTTCTCCTACAACTTTCTCTGGTTCTTCTGCCTTTTCCCTCTCTCGGAGAGAAACCCCCCCTTTTCTCGTTGTCTCCCCCTATTTATATAGTAAGTATTCCCTTTTATCTAACGGTTCTTAGCCAGAGGGCCTTAGTCTGTTCATTGTGCGTTAGGTCGTCCCGCTTAAATGTCACGACATATGCCTACAAGCTTTTAGATAGTTCGATCTCGGCAATGACCGAGATACTCGTTGTTATGATGTCTTATGAATACGACCATGGCTCAATCAGACTCCTCGCCATTCCTTTTAGTGCTGATCCAGGCGTGGTCAGATTTTGACCCATACACCGTCAATCTCAAATTATCTGTCATATTTCTCTTTTACACGACCCTTAAGAAATATTAATTAGAATGAGCTTTTGACTATTTTACCCTTATTTCTGTCTTAAGATAAAATCTTTCTTTATTGTATATTTATTCTATTTATGTGCCATCTCCATCTTCAAGAACAATTATTACTAAGGGTAAATTGAGAAAAAAAAGTAATTTTGTCTTCAACTTCTTAAACGACAAATAATTTGAGAAAACTATTTTTAGAAAGTACGATAGATAATTTGAGACCGAGGGAGTAATCACCAATGAAATTGAAGAAAATAGTAGTACGTTGATGATAGGATATAATTACGTATTTTATTCGCTTATTACACTCAAATTTACTGCACTTTAATTGAGTTTGAGCTTTAATCGCTAGTGTCTTGCACTAATTGTGTGTTTATGCCTTGTATGAGTGATTCCGAGCTATGTAGATGTTATGGAATGAATTCAAGTGATTTAGAGCTTTGAAGTCTATGTATAAGCTCAAGGAATTAAGCTGGGATCGTGTTCGGGGGTCAACGGATGATAGTTAGAACAAACGAAGAATCGAGTAGGCATATTGCGTACTGTCTAGTAAAATGCACATAACCTTTTGCTCAGAACTCCATTTGGGCTCCACAACATATGGTTGGAAAGCTAACTCAAAGGGATACAACTTTCATGTTTTACGTTTTTCCAAATTACCAACACAACAGGGTGAAAAGTAAACCCATGGCTGAGATAGGCAAAAACCATTAGGAATAGTATCATAGTTTGGTTGGCAGCTTGGGGCAGTGTTGACTTGGTTTCATCATTATCACGTAGCTTCTGTAGAAAAACCACTTTGTTCAAAATAACATGGCAATAATATGTAGTAATTTGAGATGTGTTCAAAAACACAAAGCACCTAATGATGTCATTCAAAGCTTTCATATGGCATGGTTCTGATCTTAGAAGCAATATTGGCCGTCCCATAAACTTTCTCAACAACATGAGGGGAATTTGTTGTTCTTTCCAACAACAACTCACAGATATGGCCAACAATAGCTACAATGCCACTTTCAATCCATTCTCTTTCAGCATCAATTCCTGATGAAAGGACAAGAACAAGTGGGCTAGCTTGCCCCAATGTAAATGCTGGCCAATTGAAAACCTTCTTGGTATTAGTAGAGGCATCTCCCTCTCTATAAAATGAAATAGTAGCATGATACGCCACAATGTAAGTAATGGTCTCAGATAATTGGATGCCAAGAATTCCCTCAAGAGTACTACTATGATCAAAAGGATCTCCAAAAGCATGTGAAATATATGATCGAGAACACTTCTTAACATGCTCGGACTCGTCGAAGCTAGAATTATCCACCATGAAGTACAGATGAACAGTTTTAGCAGTTTTCTCTTTGCCAAATTTCTCCATTGCTACTGCTATCAACCAACTATGTTCTATTTGGTTTACAGTAGAATTTATCATCATTATCAAATTGAGTTCAATGAGATCCTTCCCTACAACCATACACTTGTTCAAGAGGATAACATATACTAATGCATGCCCTAGGTCATGATGTAACCTATGACTTGCAACCAACTCAATCATTTTAATGACACCATAAAATGTGTAAGGAGCAAGGTGCACAGCGTGAAGCTTCACCTTATAGCCACTCCTTGATTTTAATACTTTCTGCTCATGTAATATTGCAACAAATGCAGTTGCTGCAGGGTGCATTTTACAACTGAATTTTGCAGCAAGAAGACGAGCAAATATATTGGAATCATCTACACCAATTATGACAAGCCCATTAGAGTTGAGGTTCTTTGTTATTGCAACAGAATGCGAGACTTGGGCCAAGAAATCCAATAGTAAGGCCAAGAAATGTGGTTTTGGAAGTGCTCGTGGTGGCCTAGGTGGAACCGTTTGTACATCCATTATGCAACTGGACATTTCATTAGAAAACTTGCCACCTTCCATATTACCATTGAGGCTAACTACAACGGAATAAAGTGCACTAGAGAAGCAGTGCGGTATATCAAAATGTATATCCAAGCTTTCGAACATAATTGATGGAAGAACAGACTCACCGGGATCAAATGGAAACTCTAATTCAAATTGATCAAGGAAAAATTGATGCAAAGTTAGAAAAGGTGTACCATGACCGAGTGCACTGCCTGAGTCGAATGTACTTCTCTTTATAAATAGGTCACAAATACAAGCGGAAAGAGTACAAGGCAACTCCTCCAAGTATTGAGCAAGCTCAAGTCCACAGTGAGGGTAGACTTTTCCGCAATGTCTAGCGAATGATTGATTCCAATGATCATCACCCGTGAAATGGCAATTACGGACTACTCTTAGAAGCTTTCCAACAATATGAGTAGCTTCTTTGTCTAGTGAATATCTCGGGCAATGGTTCCATCAAACAGCTTCCCTCCAGCCCAAAGTTCCAACACAAGGTGCATAGAAAACCTGTCCTCATAAGATGATGGTCCACTATGTTTTTCAAGGTTGCCACGTCGTACTAGTAAACCAATTGCATCACATGAATAGCTGGTATTAGAAATTCCTACAACCTCGACAATCTGCCATACTAGCCGCTCCAAATGCAGTACTATGCAACTCAAAACTACAAGCTGAGAATCTCGTAATAATGGTTGCTTAATTACCAACGCAAACTCTTCATCCCAATTTGGATTTTCAGACTCAACAATTAAAATGTCATCAAAGACAGACTTCTTAATAACTGAAACCTCATTAACTATTGTGAGCTTCTTATCATGTTGATGTACATACTTGTGGCTACCCAGAAAAGGAATCAGCCATGATTCCTTATGTGAAACATGATCGAGTAACTATGAAGTATCTTTTTTGGGACTTTCGGTGAACACCTTGTTCACATGGCTTATTGTTCTTACTGCCAAAGCAGAGCCAGTCTCAGGGAACGCGACCTGTGCATTTGGTTTTTCATCGTTTGCTAAAGTTGTAGTTTCACTACCTATATAATCTATAGGTTCAAGTTCAACAGAGTCCGAAACAACCTGGATTTCAAGAGGCGGAACTGAAGATAGCAATTCACGAGAATCACACTCGTCAGCTCTGTTGGACAATTTATCGAACACATTGGCTTCCTGTGAGTTTCCACCTTTGAAGGCGACTTCCAAGTCAGACGAGTTTGGGGCATGGCTCAGAGTTGCAACTGGAGATGCAGAGGTCGGTTGTGGAACCAATGTGGCGTAACTCACGTATTCAACACAGGCTCGTGAAGTATCTGCCCGACTCACTGAATCTGTGAATGTCCTTTGTCGAAATCGTATACGCAATTTTTCTTTAAAATGCGTCCAATCAAAAAATTATTTGTTTCGATGCAACCAAGTGAACCAAGCAAGAGCTTCACCATCAAAATAGAAGTAAGGAAGAGGTAGCCAGTCCTTCTCGGAGAAGCCAATGTAGGAGAAGTAGTGCTCTGCCCGATAAATCCAACTCTCGAGGTTGCCGTTGCCATTGAAGCGATCTAGCAATGCCATTGGAGTCCTCTGGATGAAAGCACCAATGTAACAACCGAATAACAACCAAACCAA